GCTGCAGAGAACATAATCAATCTGATTTTGGTATTGCCCATCTGGTGATGTCCAAGTGTAGAGTCGCCTCTTGTGTTGTTGGAAAAAACTGTTTGGGATGACCAGCTTGTTATCTTGACAAAACTCTATTAGCCTTTGCCCTGTTTTGTTTTGAACTCCAAGGCCAATCTTACCCTTTGTTCCTTTTATCTCTTGACTCCTTACTTTAGCATTCCAATTGTAGAGTTCAGCCCTGCCCTCACCTGTCCGTCACAGCCGAGCAGGGGAACAGCAGCCAATGAGGGGACGGAAGGTGGTGCTAAAGGGGGAGGAGCTGGGATATAAATGATGGTGTATGAGGTATGTGAGGGGAAAACGGTGTGAGAGGAGAGATGAGAGAGTAGAGATTTGAATGAGAAGGCAGTGTGTTAATGAGTCAGTGAGAGCAGGGTCTGTGATTGAAATTGATTATCTGCTTGTGATTTACTTATTTCTTTTATGTAATCAAATAAACAAGTTTAAGTTTTAAAGTAAATACAAGTGTCAGTGAATATATGGTATTGCATCAGCAATACCTGGTGGAAGCTACTTGAGAAGAGGAGTGAGCACATACCAGAGGCCTGAGTTGTTAGAGGCTTCACTGTGCCCGCTACACCAATCCCCTATAATGAGAAGAACATCATTCTTTGGTGTCAGTTCTAGAAGGCGTTGTAAGTCTTCATAGAATTGGTCAATTTCAGTCTCTTCAGCATGGGTGAACTTGGGATGTTGCAAGGTCTGCCTTGGATTTGTATTGAAATCATTCTATCATTTTTGAGATTGTATCCAAGTACAGCTTTCCCCACTCTTTTGTTGACTATGAGGGCTACTCCATTTCTTCTATGAGATTCTTGCCCACAATAGTAGATATGATAATCGTCTGAATTGAATTCGCCAATTCCTGTCCATTTTAGTTCACTGACGCCCAGGATGTCAATGTTTATTCTTGCCATCTCCTGTTTGACCATATCCAGCTTACCAAGGTTCATAGATCTTACATTCCAGGTTCCTATGCAGTTTTTTTTTTTTTTACAGCATCAGACTTTCCTTTCACTTCCCGGCACGTATGCAGGTGAGCATTCTTTCGGCTTTGGCCCAACCACTTTAGCTGTGGAGCTACTCATACGTGTCCTCCGCTCTTCCTCAGTAGCATGTTGGACGCCTTCCGACCTGAGGGGCTCATCTTCCACATCTTTTAGGCTTTTGTTTCTGTTCATGGGATCACATTTTGTCCAAACTCTCCACTACGACCTGTCCATCTTGGGTGTCCCTGCATGGCATAGCCCATAGCTTCTATGAATTACTCAAGCCCCTTTGCCACGACAAGGCAGCAAACCATGAAGGGGACCCCTACCCTATCCCTAGTTAAATCATAATCAATCAACTGCTTTTCCCAGCAAAACAAAGGGAATCTCACCTTCAGTTCCAAGTGGGGCCTCACAATTCAAACAATATTCCAGATAATCAAAGAACAGCCGTTAGAAGGATGCAAAAGATTTGTTGCAGAAGTATATTTGCTGACACATTACCTTCTGCCCAATATAATTTTCTACTCTCTTTTTTCATAAGTAGTGGGGTAATGGTATATTCAGAAGTGAATGTACCTATGATGAGTGTGTCGATAGCAGCGATGGCGAACCTGGCACACAGAGCCCTTTCTGCAGGCACGCAAGCCATAAGTCACTGGATTGCTACCCCACCCCACCCCGCCGGCCAAATCTGAGGCGCTTCGATAGGTTCATCCAGAGCAGCTGGTGCTGGCAGAGGATCCGGCAGCCAAATCTGAGGCACTTCGACAGGTTGATTCAGAGCAGCTGGTGCTGGCAGAGGATCCAGAGTGGGGTCACATCCATGCCTGGGATTCCCCCTTCTGCCGCCACTTCCAGTTCCATTGCCCCCGCCACCTGCTGGTTTGTTTGTTTTTTCAGTTTGGGCACGTGAGCCTAAAAACTTTCATTGCCACTGGTCTATAGCAACACATATAAGGAGAACTGCTTTCAACATTATTTATTCACCTAAGCAATATAAGAGGAACTGGTATGTTCCACTTGAATATTAAGATCAATAAGGCTCAGCAAGGAAATCAATAGCTGAATGTAAATACAGTAGGACCCCTTTATCCGCAGGATCAGTGTCTACTGATTCACATATCCACTGTCTGAAAATGGTAAAAATATTAAAAGAAAAATCACCCAAAATATGTATTTTTAATGATGAAGTTACCAAAACTAGCCACTAGAATGGGGCAGATACTATGCTATGTATAGAGTTCGCTATTAAAATAGTGCTCCACATTTTTCAGCATCCACGGGGTGAAGGGGCTTGGAACTGATCCCCTGCAGATACAGGGATCTTGCTGTATAGTGTGGGATAGTGTATGATTTAAAGAAAAGAAAAAAAGATAAGACATATGCCCAAAAAAGAAGGACAAGAATGAATGCAGAACATATTAAACAAAATTCCTGTTCAAAAAACATCTTGATATTCTTGCCATTGCTTCTTTAAAGTGCATTTTATAATAGTCTTCCATGTAATGAGGCAGGAAAGGACAAAATGAGGTCTCTGAAGGCTGTGGCATAAGAACCAGTGTCCCAAAGTCCCTTTGGGCTTATATAGCTCATAGAAATTGAAGCTGAACACCAGCTATGTTTAAAATAAGGCCATAGACAAGAATAAATAGAAAATGTAGCCATTTATCTCACATGCAATTACTCCAGCTGCTCAGAACAGTAAGCAAACCTTGAGGAAGACTTACATTTCTATTCAGTCTCATGAAATGATCTATGTACTCTCTGAATCAAAAGATTGTATCCTTTAATAGGAGAGGAAACATTAAAATCCTGGGGCAACAAAAGACAGGCTCAGCTCTATAAATGACACATGCAACGGTAGTCCCACAATCAAGTTATCCAGTGACTTAAATCCTGAGGCAGAGACACTTGTGTAGTTCTTGTACTTGTCTCCTACCGTGACATACAGAGAAAACAAGAGAAAGAATAAGTAAATTCCACGGGCGACAATGCAGACAATTCTTCAGGTCATCCCTGGGGAATGTTTCTGAATATTATTACAGCCCATTCATTTTCCAATAATCCAAAACACTGGAAGCTCTAGATTCATCCCCAGGCTTGAGATTTACAATAATGAAGAACTAGCTTGCCATCACTTCCAAAACACTGTAAAGGGAAAAAAGAGAAGAGAAAAAACAAATCAAAAACAAATCAGCAATGAGTCAAAAAATTACTTATGTTCCATTAAACCTTGTTTCAGCTAATTGGTTCACAATTTCTGTTTCTTACAACATACTGCCACCTATTGACAATCTCTACTCAGAAAGTTTTATGTATTACATCTGTCCCAATCAGACTTCTCTAAATTTCTTAAATGAAGATTATGAAAGAAAAACGTTTAAAAGTTGGCAGTCACCTCATATAATGTTCCAACCTCCTGGTCTGGTGAAGGAGCAAAAGATTGATTTACATAAATAAACTGTGTAGGAAAGAAGAGAAGCATTGAAACGTTATTTTAATAGGCTTTAGAGACGGTGTGCATACTAACACAAAAAGCATTTTCTTCAGTTATGACACATTGCCTTCAAAATAGTCCATGCCAAACATAAACTCATTGCAAAGTACCAGCTCAACACGGATGATATAAGGGTCACTGGTAATCAGTGGAAGGTTATCTTTCCATAGCTGCTCAAAATTCTGTTGCCCCTTAGCTCTACTGAGGGCTATATTTGTGGGAGGGAAAAGAATGCACCTATATTCTCCCTTCACCCCTCCCCTTTGGACATAATTTAGACTTTACATACTGAACACAAAGATTGGAAGATCAAATTGCCTAGGGTTCCTGATCACAGAAACTATGCAAGTGTGTTCAGAGGAACATGCCTATGGCCTTCTCTTCAGAAATTCACACTCAATGCACAGAGTTGGGGCAAAGGTGGTAAAGGCACTGGGGCATAGCTTACATGAATCCTTGTCATGAATACAGCCCAACCCACACATTCAGACAAATGCCTGAATTAACTTACCGACTAGGTAAAGGTAAAAGTTCCCCTTGTCAAAAGTTCCCAAGCCGCCTAGAGTGGTCCTATGTGATTCAGATAGGCGGGATATAAATTAAATAAATAAATAAATAAAAAATAAATAATAGTCCAGTTGTGTCCGACTGTAAGGTGTGGTGCTCATCCCCATTTCCAAGGCAAATGCCTGAATTAACTCACTGACTAGGTAAAGGTAAACGTTCCCCTTGTCATTTAGTCCACTTGTGTCCAACTGTAAGGTGCGGTGCTCATCCCCATTTCCAAGCCATAGAGACAGCGTTTTTCTGAAGATAGTTTCCGTGGTCACACGGCCAGCGTGACTAGACACGGAATGCTGTTACCTTCCCACTGAGGTGGTACCTATTTATCTACTCACATTTTTACATGCTTTCAAACTGCTAGGTTGGCAGGAGCTGAGACAAGCGACGGGAGCTCACTCCGTCCAGTGTTGATCTTACAACTGCTGGTCTTCTGACCTTGCAGCACAGAGGCATCTGCAGTTTAACCCTCAGTGCCACCATGTACCTCACTGACTAGAGAGCTAAACAGAAGAATGATGCACCTCCATCTGGCCCAAGAAAAGAGAGCTGTTGGGGGTTCCTACTACTTTTCATAGCTACCTATGTTTTTAGGCAACACGAAGAAAATGGAAGGGTACACTGGCCCTGCAAACAACAGATTCAAGTCTACCTCTTCACCACTTACAAGAATTGCATCATAACTGCAGCCCCTTTGTGGGTAATTTCCAAGAAGGTGTTTGTGGAAACTCCTGGAGAATCCTGTCTGGGTTCAGTGTATAAATGTACTGACTACTATATGGTGGTGTTTCTAAAATTATGACATTATTTAAAGAACTAAGAATAAGCTGATGTTTATGAATTTTCAGTACTAAACACATAATTCTCTATTAAAGTATTTGATTTCAAAACAATCATTTCTAAATGACTGTGTTAGCATTTGTGAACGAACGAGATCCCCAATGTGGAACAAGTGAGCATCTGGCCATGCAACATAAGCCATAAAATCTGCAGAATCCTTGCTTTGTTACAAGCCATGGGTTTGTACACATTGCCCCATCACATCTGCCTGCAACAGGAGCAATTACACTCTGTGTTTTCCTTAGTATGTCATCTGAATTCAGGTGTATTCTTTCTGCCTCAAGAAAAACAAGTACAAGACTCTTTCTCCAATTTGCTGGGAGACAAACAAAACAAGTGATTGTGCCCATATCTGGATGGCACACTAAGCATCAACATACTGTTCAGAAATGAAAAAGGAAATACATACCAGCTGTTCTGAGGCTAATAGTTTGAGAAACTTTTTGATAAAGTCAATGAGGCCTTGGATTGTACGGGTTCTCTCTACAGTCCATTTCTTGGTCTTCATTATAGGAGTATCTCCAACAGCTTTGAGTAAAACATCAACTAGAAAACAGAATGAGACATAATGAACATAAGAACAAACAATTAGTATACAGCATATGACTGAACTGCACTGCAAAGTGACTAGTATGGAGCAGAGAATGGGCAGAAGTAAAGCTTCCTGATCTACAGAAATACTTCACGGCCAATACCATTTCTGGAATCACAGAGTCTAACTGTGTCTATATATTAGTTTTGTACCCCACTTGTGATCAGTAAATGGCAACAAGAGGCAGCAGAGTTTAGTATCATCTATACCTTGTAGTCTTTTCAGCGTAAACCTCTGGATGACTTTCCTCAACATTTTCATGTATACACTCGAAAGCACAAGAAAAGGGATCATAAAGTAGAAGTCCTCCAAGCACCACCTTTTCAGATTGTTAACAAAAGGAAGACAGAAACTATGTAACAATATGCTGCTTCTATCCACCATAAATGGTGTGTAGAAGAATATCCTGGTCAATGGTCTCAAGAACTGCTACAATGTCTAGGAGATCCAACAGGCTTGCAAACTTCTCTTCATTCCTAGTTGCACACACATAGTGACTAAGACTCTTTCGTCCTGATGACATAAGGAAGGCTCCTGTAACACAGATTACTTTCCCCAACCCAGAACAAAACCCAAAATGTCCTGCAACACGTTCTGACAATATAATGTATAATACAAGTCTGTAGTTGAAATGGCACTATTGAAATCATCATTTGCTCCTGAAAAACTATTTATTTATTTATTTATTTATTTATTGGATTTATATACCGCCCCATAGCGCTACAAGCACTCTCCGGGCGGTTTACAATTTTAATTATAAAGGCTACACATTGCCCCCCCAGCAAGCTGGGTACTCATTTTACCGTCCTCGGAAGGATGGAAGGCTGAGTCAACCTTGAGCCGGCTACCTGGGATTTGAACCCCAGGTCGTGAGCACAGTTTTAGCTGCAGTACAGCGTTTTAACCACTGCGCCACGAGGCTCAATGTGACAAACCCAGACCTACTGGGATCTATCACACAGTTACTAAGCTGCCACCAACCATTCCCTATAATAAGTCACACAGACCAGGGATGGATTTTTAAACAATAAAAGAATAAGGTTTATTTTAAATACAAACAGGGTAAATAAAACAATCAGGTGAATAAAATAAAGTAACGTGGCTTATTCTCACACACACAAGCATACAGTTTGGTTCACCTAGAACCTTTAACTTAAAGCACAGACCCTGAACCCATCAGTTCTGGCTAACCAACTAGCAGCAGTGACAATACAGAAGTCCCTCAAATGCAGTCTTCAACTCTACCATCATTTGCTCCTGAAAAACTAGCCGCAGTGACAATACGGAAGTCCCTCAAATGCAGTCTTCAACTCTACATTTACATTTTTATCAATTCAGGCAGGGAGACTGTTAAGCAGCAGACTGAATGTTGCCCCAACAGAATCTATTATGCCAGTCAAGACACTTTAAAAAGGCTGTTACATGGAATACCATAACTATTACAACCTAAAAGAAAGATGATATCCCTAAGAAAAAAAGTAGCACTCCTCTCCTCTGTCTAATATAGCCAGATACTGTGAGATATAAGTGGCTGACCATAGTGGTCCTGGGGACCAGTTCTGCTCCTGGGACCAGCACACATTGCACCTCTCAGCAAAATCTGGCAGCAAACTGCACCTCCATATTTTGACAATAACCTCAAGGGAAAAAAAGAGTAAAGCAAGTATACAAACGGGCAGCATTTTCTATCTGTATCAATGGGTTGGGTCTGCTGCTCAATTTCAGTGGTGTTACTTCCACCCGATTTCAACAGGGTGGTGGTAAGAGGAGAGAACCTTGGTGAGGAGCAAAAGCAGACTGGGGAGCCTTATGCAGCCGTTGAACTGTTGCCCATCCCCACTTTGACAGAACTCAAGATGGACATGTCAGAAAGAGAGTAATCTGCTGCACCCACATATCTAACCGAGTTTTGGTGACAGAAACAGACTGACACAATATCTGACTGCTGTTGTTGCTGCCCTGTGCCTCAAGTCTCTCTGGACATACGGTGATCCTATGCACTAATGATCACCAAAAGGTCCTACCTTGAACTAACAGTTTGGAGGTGAAAAGGGCCAACATAACATTCAAGAACAACTACAGACTAAACTACAAGCAAGCCACCAAAGTCACTGAAGCTGAGAGGAGGCCCTCACCACTCTTAACATAATATGTCCATCCATAACCATCTTATCTTTCTCAATTCCTGGTCAAACTTCCCCACAAACCAACATAAATAACACGGAGAAAGTGTCTTAGGAAAAGGCCTTGTCCACGAGAGTTCATATTAAAATACATTAGTTAGTATTTAAAGTGCCACAGTGTTTTTTGGTTGTTCTTTATTTTGCTTCTGTCTTCTTTATTTCCATTTTTTTTTCTTTTGTCTTCTTTATTTTTCCTTCGTTTTTGCCTGTTCTGCTAGTACAGACTAGCATGGTTACCTCTTCTATAAAGAGCATAAGTTACAGAGGCCTAACCCGGAGAAAAGGAGAAGCCATTCGGAAGCACGACTGGCAGGCTCTATAAAGAGCATAAGTTACAGAGACCTAACCCGGAGAAAAGAAGCCATTCGGAAGCACGACTGGCAGGCGAGGACCCTAGACCGGGGTCTGCTTGGAAACTTGACATTTAAGCCGGGCTGCGACGTGGGTGGCGGCTGATACTCGCGCCTGCCTGCCTGCCTGCCTGCCCGCCCGCCGCCTCTCCGATCGGCTGCCAGATCTCCGCCGGGCCACTTACTTTTCTTCCGGGTGTCTCCAGGAGGCTCCTCAGTTACCGGGGAAACGGCGGGGGGAGGGGCCGGCTCGAGCAGCCCCGCCGCGGCTCCTGCTCCTCCACTTTCCGGCGTCTCTTCTTCAACGTCACCTCGGTCCACTTCCTGAGGCGAACCTGTCCCGCTCGTCGCCGGCCCTGCAACCGGCAGCTGCCCGTCTTCGCCAGCCTCCGCCATCCTCCCTTCCAAACAAGCAGCAACCACTTCCGTCCCGCCACCCCCTCTCTCTCTCGATTATAAACGCTTGTGGCGGCCACGTGATCGCACCGGCGGAGGTTTGCCCCTCGCGAGCCGCCGTCCCCAGATTCCGTTCGGGGGAGGGGGCGAGGGAGATTTGAGGCGTCACGTGAAGGACGAGCGGCTCTTGTCTCCTGAGGAGGATTTGTGCGGGGCTTCGAAGGAGAGCCGCGGCGGCGGCGGCGGCGGGTGGGAGGGCGCTTCACAGTCTCCGGGCTTCGAGTAGGGGAGCGGGCAGACCCTCACCACCACCACCACCGGCGAGGTCTTGTGGGTTCCTCGCCGCCTCCCGGCACCATGATCAAATCAAACCTTATTTTCAACAACCATGGCAAGCCGCGCCTCTCCAAGTTTTACCAGCGCTACGTAAGTGCCCGGCGTCGGGCTCCGGAGGGGGGCGGGCGGGTAGAGGCCTCTGTGACGGCGTGGCCTCCGGTCGCTTCCTGCTGAATGGCGACGCCGTGAGCTGGTGGGGCCCAGAAGGCCGTGTCGCTCACACAGTCTGGCGAACCTGAGGCTGCGGGGCCTTTACTGAGTCGGTCCATCTCACGCTCGGACTTCCTCGTTTCCCGCTCCCTCCCTTCCCCTTCGCTTCGCCTGGCGTTCTTGGTCTTGTCTTCTTGCCCGAGGCGCGGTGGCCGCAGCTTCCCCTTTGCTTCCTTGAAGGGGAGGCGCTCGCCCTGGCCATGGCCTGGCCCTTTCTGTCAGCGGCCACTCCGCCTCGGCCGCCGCCTCCGGGCGTAGTCACGGCTCCGTTCGCCTCGCAGCCCGGTCGGCGCCCCCCCCCAGCCGGGGACTCAGAATTGCGGGTCGCCAAGAGCGGCCTTGGCTTACCTTGGCTTGGCGTC